TATAAGTAATATGTAGCATAATGAAATATTAATAAACGAGTACTATTAATAGGTGACCGGATGTATATAAAATTTAAATTTTGAGAAATTTTCTGTACTTGATAATACACGATCATAAAGCGGTATTGTCATTGGCCGTAGATATTCCATCTATCAAGTCACGTCACTAGTTCGAAGTTTGGGTAAACCGTATCAAAATGACCCAGTAAATTTTATTAATTAATAAAAACGCGTGGTACCACTCTGTGATATTCCTTATTTTAAGCCGACAACAAAATTTATTATGATTGTAAGATGGTTGTGATTGTGCTTAACTCTATAATTGTTTCATCGATTTATTATTGTATATGAATGAAGTGGGTTCGTTGTAAATAAGCTAAATTTAGAAATATAAGTTGCAAAAAGCAGCCGGTCCGAGGCTGAGGCTTAGAATGATTCCGTTTTGTTATGACAGCGCTGGCGGGCGACGGCGACGCGGGTTCGCCGACCCCACTCCGAGTTTTAATGATAAAAAAATGCGTACGGAGGGGAGGCGAGTAAGTGCCATCGAAGGAGGGAAAAAACTACGGAGGAAAATATTTGGCGCGACAGGTGCCCCCTCCCGACACTCCCCGCGACGCCTTGATAAAAATTAAATCTTAACGACGGAAATTTAAAGATGACGCTCGAACGATCAAGAAGAGTGGTACATCTGAGCCCTGGGGTGATTTAATTGGGCCGAGTGTATACTAAGGATGTAGCTACAAAGCGTATATTTTTTACGGCAGTTGTCATTGATTGATGTTACCTATTTAGATTTCTCGTAGATATTATTGAGACGTTGCAATGTTTTGAACGAAATTTATTGTTTTTTGTAAATTTACTTTCATATAACTTAGAACTTGATTACTCTTTAGTAGTTATCTAACTACTAAGCGATTAAAATGTTTACATCTTGATGTTCTGTGTATATAAAAAAAAGGATGAGTTTTGGAACATTCACCTCATAATAAATTAATGCATTTCATCATTTTATCACATTACGTACAAGATTTGAAAATAAAGAGTAAAGCTGTAGAATTACAAAAAAATAAAGTGCTATTTTAAATTCGCTACTGAATTGAAATTCAAATGAAGAATGCAAAAGATTTGCATCGGGCGGCATCGACTATTGATTTTCTTACGTCTTGGGGGCCAGCACTGCAATCCTACTTGTTTAAACTTTTTATTTCACTCTTCACAAGCGTTTTTTGTTTCAGCCACTCGCCCCAGGGTGCGCTCCCCTACGCACTCCCTCTTGCATAAAAAAGCTTCTAATCGATAATTTGTGTGGGGGTGCATTAAGCATAATATCGCCAGAAATGTGCGCGACTGTTTTTCTCAATACATCTTGGTTTTATCCTTAAGGCTATTTGTGTTCGGACTTCTTAAGAATTGAAGAGGAAATAAAAACGTATCTCATCTGATGTTTATTTTTAATTTAATGGATCAATTAGATTGGCAAATTACTTTGATTTCTTTTAAATATTAATAATAAATTTTGCATGACTCAATTTTATTAATGACGTAGATAATATTCTTTCTCGTGAGTTATCGTTATACGTTTTAAGAGTTTGAATAGTTTTGTACATTTTATTTCAAACAACAAAAACATACTTCTCTCAAGTATGTTTCGTAAGAACATGAGTTATTAGAGTTTTGATAAAAACACAATAAACATTATTGCCATAAAACTCCAGCGATAAAAGCAAACTGTACTAGGAAAAAACACATCTAACAGCTTTACAATTGAAATCGACCATAAGAGTGGCGCGATGATCATCGTTCGCCGGATCTAATCAGCTAAGACACATCGCGTGGATGCTACTAACTGCCAATATCTGATGCATCGCCATCGGACTGTCCCATTGTATTTGTTCTTTATGTTTTTTTATGCGGAGGGACGCGACGATAATGTTTTTATGGGCGGAGGGTCCTTGCTTTAATCAGGGAACGCGATGTGATTAAACGTGCCAATGTTTTTGTTTTCACTCGTCACGACTACACTCCTTATGTGTAAGATATAAGGCAAAGCTGTCGTAAAAATTTAAAATAATTCACTCATATTTGTGGATGTTACGAAAACTATTAAAAAATAGACATGTACATAAAATTTACAATCGAATGATGGCTTGATGAAGACAAAATAACAATATTTCCCGTTGTAAGCATTCTATAGATATAAGTAAGTAGGGACTAATATAATTCTGGTTTTAAACATTTGAAAACAAATCTATTTTCAGTTCCGCTATTGAGCAATAAACAAGTAAATTTGTGATTTTAATATGTTAATTATGATAACACCGAATCTTTGTAATCTTTAAATGAAAATTTAAATTAATTTATTTTAATATCATTAATGTTTGCAACAAAGAAAAAGAGCAAAAGATCAAATAAATAAAGCTACGTACGTATGCTTAAAGTTATTTAGATTTCAAAATGCTAAGTCAATCATTCGTAACAGTTATATTTAATGTACATGTATTTTCAATATTTTCTTTGCAATTACCTCGTATATTTTAACAATATCAAAGGTAATAAAGTCGTTATATTTACTTTGTTTTTTGATAAGAATTTCCATTCTTACGAATTTTCCAAAAGAAAGATGTAAAGTGAAGAATAAGTAAATTGTATTTATGTGCAATGCTATGTATTTAAAAAGATATTAATGATTAATATCTGTCAGACATATAAGCTTATAACATAATATAAGGTTAGCATTTAAATAGAACACTCAAAAGTTAAAGCAAGCACCTGAACATTTCGATAATATACATCTATTAACATATAACATATACAAATTTCGACATTATCGTGTCAATAAAAGCAATAAATTCGTTATAATACCGAAAAGTCGGACAAGATGTCGCGTGTAATAAATATCGACACTTTAATTTGTATCGCATACGAATGTTGTTGTTATCATATTGAGTACATTTTAATTTTTAAGACATATAAAACATGGAGGTATGTCAACAACCTAAGTTAATATTTGAGTTTAAGTCACGAAGCTCGTTCCCCACGCATACCGACACAAGATAATGACTCAAAACGGCAATTCGAGCCAGAGTTTTTCATAAAACGAGGTATATGAGTCAAGAACATCGGGGCCATAAACATAAGAACACCCTAAGCGCTCACCCCTTGCACGAAAAAGTCACCCCCGGACGTACGTACGGAGCACAAAAAAGGGCACCAGAGGGACGTTACGCATCCCAAGTAAGCGGAGCTCATTGCTGGGGTCTGCAGATGTCTTTAATGGCTTTAAATTATATGTAGAGAGAGCTAACTGCCGCCTCTGATGGCGAGTAGGTGATAGATCGTATGCGGATATTATCTCTGATTGCATTTCCTCTCTTCCAACAATCCTGAACTACAAGTTAATACCATACTTAATATCAACTACTAAAAAGATTACCATAAGTATACAGGTTAAATTTTCCTTTCATTTTTTAATATAAGTGTTAAATATTAATATGAATCTCTGGCAAGTTTCTGAGAGCTTTTATACTTTTATTTCTTATATTCTAATATCAGAAAACATTACTCATTACCGTTCATACAATTTTCAAGATATTTAATTTATTATTAGGAACACTGTTTGGTAACTGTAAGTGAACAAATTCAAGTACATTACAGTATTGATAATTTGTTATAATTTTGCGGTTACTCGGCCCTATGGTAATCTGTACAACAATAACAAGTTGTCATTGCGTTGTTTACGGGCTTTGTACAGGTGAGTGGGCACGATTTCACGCGATTTCATTACGCCAGGAGGAAAAAAAAAGATGGAGAAATTGTAAAATAATGTCAATTACTCGTGTACAAGCACCGCATAGTTGTAACTAACTAACGATCGTCATTACCCATTGTCGTAGTTTGCGTAAATAGATACGATTTCGCGAGGAAGCGAGGCGGGGCCGCGCCGCTACTGTTTTCCGCTTCGGCCGACATCCGCGCTGCGCTCGTTAATGTAATCACGGCTTTATTCTCTAGTAAACACAAGTTGAACTAATGAAGACTAATTTACACGTTGTTTACAGTACCTCATTATATTTTAATTTTTTGTTTTCAATTTTAATAACAAAGTTTGTTATTCGTATTTAAAAGACTGAACAATATATGATATTAACTGAGCTTTATGTTCTTATTGACTTTGACACAACTGTAAAACAGTTGTTTGTGTTAAGATGTTGGTATATTTGCTTAACCCATTACGATATCATCGGGATTTTAAATAAAAAACAACTAAATTTTTTTGTACACTAAAACAGAAAAGTTTTCTTGTTGAATTCAAAAGTTCAATCTGTCATCGACATCGAGTTATTTGCAAACAATCAAAGTACTTGCACAAAAAATGTGACGCTCTGAATATTTGATTAAATTTATTTATTAAGTCTATTGAAGTGGTGGCCGCTTTCTATTTGCCTATAATAAAAAAGTTTGAACTGTCACTCGGCGTCCATTGAACCGGGTGACACAATGTGGGTAGGCGACAGGCGACGTATTGTTTTAGATGACACACAAAGTCGCGGATGCGTCCGACACAGTCGATCGCGTATGCGTTAATTTCATAGTATTCAAATTCATCATGAGGGACTTGGATCCTACCCTGAGTTAGGAGTGACTAGATCATAGTCTTCCTTCACCGTAAGAACGTTGGATAAATGTACATATGTAAATCGAAAATCGAAGGAAAGAAAAGACGAACAGGAAAGCCTAGTGACACAGTAGTAACTTAGGTCACTTTTGAATACAGTGTAAGAAAAGGGTTAGTAGTACGATATTGTGTTATTTCCTAGAGTTACTATGTTGAATTCAAGTCAAGAACGGTTAAAGAGAATCGATTTCTCATACATATTAAAAGTATAAATTACAAAGAGCCTATCTAAAAGTAATAACGGTATAGAATTAAAAACTTACTTCAAAGAATAATGCTTCGTTTTTTGAGCTAATAAGTTGTATTGTGATTTTTCACTCACCTTCTGTAACAAAAGAAAATTCCTTACTTATTAAAAATATTCTCATAATCTTGAAAAAATACTTAATACCGTAAACTTAACAAAGAATCTCTAGATATTAGCTTTTATTGTGATTCTCAAAGATAATACTCGTTTCCCTATTTCACATAGATCGCTTCTTTCAAAGATCGTCGCTCTAAAAAAGATTTGGGGGAGAAATTTTAAAATATGTGCGACAATTATCGATACACAACGTAATAGTCTTTTTACATTGTGTAGAATACTGAAGACGTTCAAAAAAAGTCCCCCCCGGTAGAGTCGGAAGATTTATTCGCAAATTAGTTGTAAATTTGGGCTCCGATCTCAGCCTAGTTAGTACATCGGGCTCGGTTATAAAAATGTATTTAAAATGTCGCCGACAAAAATGATTTATTATGTACAGAGTGTCGTAAATTTGTCCATTTAGACTAGAGGGGGCAATAAATTTTATAGCACCTCCCATGTAAGGTATGAAAAAATGCTGCCTTTTGTAAAGAGTACATAATTTCAGTAGTTCTGTGTAGTTTCAGATATTTATTACAGAAAATGATATATCAATGTTTTGATTCTGCAATTATAGTTAGGTACAGTTTTCATTTAAATAATTTTATGTCAGAAAATTCTAGAAGTATGTAAAACCCATTCAAGTTGCTTATAAAACAAACATTAATTTGCATTGGTAAGACGACGGTTGATTCGCTAAATATTTTTATAAGCTTAACAAAAATTGTCTTTATCTTCGACTATCAGTCGGCAATCGTGAGAGCTAGTGTATTAAAGTAATAATAAACCTGGGAATATTCATGTTCTGCTCCAATACGCATTAATTTATGCAAGATGATCTTACGTTTTTTTAATCGCTAAAGAAATGACAATGCCCTTCGTCAAAAATTGCGACCGGCGGTGTCACCCAACACTTCCTTAGGGAGTTGCAAAGAAAAAACCCATCAACCCTAACCTGACGTGTCATTCATTGTGAACTTATTTTTGTCGCTTAAAAGTTTTTTTTTTCATTTCTAATTCAATACCCAACAAAAACTGTCTAATTGTAACAGTTTCTTTCTCGATGAAATTTTAAGGTCGATTATTTTTTCTATTGTTGTTTCTTTGGAGGAATGTTTTTAAGCTTTGTATAGATTATCGTATTGATTGACATTTGGGGATTTGTGCAACCGGTCTTCTTTGTGTTGCGTTACTCATTATTTTCCTTAATTAAAGTTTACGCTTCAAATTTGGCACACGAAATCGATCCTATTTTGAGTCACGGATAAATAAATAAATAAATAACAAAAGATTTTTTTAAAATTTTAGAATTTTATTATGATATGTGAAGACGAAAGATGCCTCATTTAAAGTTAGTACTAGACGATACCAGTCGTAGTCATAAGTATATTAATTAACCTAATAAATTTTGATAAAAATTTAAAGAGGTATCAAATAATACTTGGAAGATCTCATGAAGGTGTATACAACATTACCTAGACTTATTATAGATTAAAAAGGAATCTATTAAAAACACACACCTGCGTCATAAGAAGAAAATTTTAAAACATGTTATTAAATCAATCTGATCGATTGGAAAGGGTTCCATCGAATAAAGAACATAATAATTGTTCACAAAGGAGATCCGGTCCGTTCGGGAGCTCTATTATTTATAGTTTCCGATCAGAGTCTGAATACGCCTTAATTATCGACTACATAGTGTCGCACCCTTAAACTTTCTTTAAAAAAACTTTGAAACTTTCACGCGGTTTAAGTTTTAACCGAAATTGTTTTTGTGGTTATTATTAGTCCGTTTACTTTGAATATAAAAAGTCACGATAGAGAACAGAACCACACATCTACTGGATATGTGGTTCTCTTCCTATTTTGAATATATTATTCGTTTCGTTTTATCAATTTCTAGACGGCGCGTTACCTATGCACATTAAATTTCAATAAGAATAAATAATTGTTTGTCTTTAACTAAATTATTCAATATCTACAATTTTTATACGTATGATATGGAATTATTACGGATTAACGCAAAGTGAGGTTTGAAAAGTTCATATAACGGTTATTCGACTTTAAAGTTAAGACTTTTAAGTAAAAACCTTGTAAATTATCGCCGTAAAAAATGTAATCTTTGGTAATAAAAAAACAACATGAAATCAAAATTGAACGAGTCGTTTTTGCAACCGTTTAAGAGCAACGCTATACAAAATAGAGAACTCAAACATTTCTCGAGGTTAACCTTAAGAGGTAATCCTTAATAAATAAATGGGGGATATTTATCGAACGGTAGACGCTTTTAATAGACTAGAAATTGTTTTGAACCGTGTTCGGTAAGCGTGAAGATTTTGTTAGGATTAATACGACCTTCGTCAACGCACTGTTTGCCACTGGTTCTCAAAGTTACGGAGAGAGATTATATTACATTTAACTTTTTTTTATTCATTTTCAAGTTTTTGGAAATAAATTAATAAAGTATAGAGGTACTTCATTATTTTCAAAATTTTAATTACTTTTGCAGCTATTGATATTATTAGTTTATATCCTAAATCCATTTATCTTAATGCAGCAATATTTTATCACAGCATTTTATCTTACTAATGTTGGCAGGATGGATGGATGTTTGTTAGAAGGTATCTCCAGAACGGCTGCATGGACCACGCTGAAATTTGACATAGGTGTAGATCATAGCTTGTAACACATGGACTACTTATTAAGTTTTTTTAATTATTTGCGGACGGACTCGCGGGCGACATATAGTATTATCATTGTTTCGACAGTGGGAACTGGGAACCCATGGTTACTTTTTCATACAAGTTGTTAACGTGATACAGCTTTAACTTTGAGTACCTGTGGTCAAACAATGTAACACTATTCATTGCTATCACAAAGAACTACAAACTTTGTTAAACATTGTAAGTATTTATAATATATTATTTTCATGACCCTTGCGTGGAGTTCTCATTGAAAATATTTTTAATCCTAAAACCAACTAACTTATGTGTATAATACAGAAGGTTGTAGTATGGGGTTGAGTTTATTCTTATAGTAGACTTGAAGTAGTGCGATACAAGAAAAAGTTAGTTGTTTATATACTTAAATTTACCCCCAATTTTTAATTTCCGGAAAAGTTCTAATTAACTTTCTTAATTATGATTTTTATCTGTTTTTTTAATCAGATTATGAAATAAAGTTAACCTCAAAATTAAACGCAATTCAGAAATGTCTAGTCACATAGTGTTTAAAATATAAGTAACTGTTTATATATTTATAAACAAGAATATTAACTACTGTGTTCCATAAAAACTGTATCAAAGTTTACTACTCCTATGATAACAGCTTATCACTTTACACGCTACCAAGATGACGTATGGAGAATTCAAAATGTTATGACATCGAAATCTGAACGCACCCCAACCGAGGCAAGCACCATAAAATAACCATTTCTGACGTGTTCTGACATGTTATATGGCACCGTAAAAGGTACATCCGATCTACTTGATGTACGGGTTAAATAGCCATCTAAACGTGTATTAAAATCGCGCCGATACAAACTAGTCGAGTGGAAACCGTAAAAAATCACCCCGTGTCACAGAGTTAAGAAAGTTTTAGAGCTAGTAAGTAACGTTGCAGTGAATGAGATTTTTTGCATATGAATTCATTCTGATATTAGGCAGTTTGTACGGTTACGAAGTTCCATAAAAAAGCTACTTTTTTTTACTGCTTTAGTAGTAATATTGCTTTCCTTATCAATGTATATTTGTTATGTACTATTTAATTAAATCTGTATAAGAAGTCAAATAAGGGTGTCTGTTAAATATGATCAATACCGGAAATATTTCGACGATATGATTTCATTTTAAAATGTCACTTCTAACGTTCTATAAGTCTGTGTGCTCTAGTAAGCACCGCAAATCTTGCGACCAGGTAGCACTGGGGATAAGCATGTGAAAATTGTGTGTTCAATGCAACGGAGCCCATAAATAAGACATTAGCAGCTCGTATTCCTTACTTCGGTTTAATTGCTTGCACACCATTGTCGACCATTATTTACGATACAAGTAAAATATACGACGGTCTAACGCGGTTTAAATTAACCATTTTTTTTTAACGAGCTGTCTTTAACGATTTCTGTTACAAAGTATGACAGTTAAAATGTAAGAATTAAGGCTTAATATTAACTTATCATACCCGTAAATTATTTTTTGTAGATCGAATGGATAAATTGTTTTGACTTTACTAATTTAGAAAGTAAATCAGAGACGATGAAGGTAATTTCATGCGATAATTTATATAGTTCTACAAAATTTTACTTCATTTAGAATCAGCCCAAATAATAACCAACATATTTTTTTTTGTTCCCAAACAGTTGCTTCCTTAAATTACATATGTAAGAAAAAACGATCAATCATAATATTAAAATGAAATAGCTTCAAAACGTCACAGATAAAGCGTGTAATTACTCTTGTAACACGTGTATATTTAAGTTGTATCGGTGAAATCGTCGTTACGGAGGGTCCAAAGCGCCGGTCAAGTGTCAAAAAGGCGCGTGGAGTGGTCGAGATGTCCTGATAACCGCACCCCACCTGTGACGTTGCGTCCTTTCGTAGAAACACAACCGAATTGTTTTTGATTAAGTATTACAATTTTTTGGAATATAAATAACAACATTCTTTACATATAAGAATAGTTTTATTTATTTTATTTTAAGAATACTTTAAGATTGAGGTTTTAGCACAAATGAATTGTAAACTTAGTCAAGCATTAGTACTGTTTTCGGAAACTACACTTGTAAGCTACATCTTGCCTATCTAGGCTGAGGTGCTTTACTATGAAACTGTTCATTATAGACCCCCATACTTAGTATTATGTTTTTGGTTTGTATAAAGACATTGTGATTGTCTGTTTATAGAGACAAAGTGTCTGAAATTGACATGGGTCAGTACTCACAGGGACGGTCCGGCGCCGAACCGGAAGCCCGTGGCCCACTGCTG